CCGTAAAACAGCTTGTGCGCATGCGCAATAGTGCAAAATGGAACTTAGTTTTTTTATCATGAACACTACACCCTAATCCCAAAACCCTACAATCCCGGAGGCTAAGATGTACGAGAGGGTGCTCTAAAAACTAAACACTAAACCCCAATCCCAACCCTACGACCCTGGAGGCTAAGATGTACGAAAGGGTGTTTATTTCCTGACCTAAAAAAGCCAAAAGAAAAGAAAAAATAGCAAAAAAGGTTATTTCTAAAAAAAGAAAAAAATCATACACTGCAGCATAGTTTTAAGCAGCAGTATAGGCGCGGCTGCCGGATCTATAGCTCTGAACATGCTCTGAAGTAGGCATCCAGCTGCCGGATCAATAAACACTGCGAAAATTATATATAGCTCAGTATTTAGGACTTGATGTTGTCTGTTTGAATAGATATCATATGGGTATGATAAGGTGATAACAAATGAAAAGAAGATAGACAAATAAAAAGTGGAAGGGTGAGAGTAAGAGTTAATGCTTACATCCATTTCTATAGTAACATCATCAGGTTTTGCAGCCATCCCGGCCCCTAGCTGGCTGGCTCAGAACTGATGGTGTCCGACACAGACTCAAATTTGTAAGGTATGACTTAATTTGAGCAGCTGGATTCCAAATACAATACTAGTCCTACTGAAACTGCAAAGAGTGAAGGATATCTGCTCAGATCAGAAGCTTAGCTGAGCTTTATATAAACATAATCTTGATCACACCCACTTACTATCTAACACATGGGAACACGTGGGATATTATTGAAATTTGAGTTTGAGATGGAGAAATCATATCTTTAATATCTTCATCCTTCCCAGAAAATATCTGGCATTATCTGCCTACCCAAGAATACTTTCTTCCTCCTCTTCTCCATTTTTGAATTCATTTTCCCTGCTTTCTTTTGCTCCTCCTCCTCATTCTTACCAAGCAAAGCCATCAGGTCTGTATCTATGGCAAAGCTTTCATTGATCATTGGCCCAATGTGATTCCCCAATGTGATTCATGCAAAGTTTGCTAGAAAGTGAAGCCTAAAATAGAGAAATAAGAGAATGAAGTCACCAGTACCCAGTGACCTTCCGATTATATTTGGCAGGATTTGTATAATATATACAATACATAAATATGAATCATAAATGGATGACTGTATGCTTTAAAAATTATTGAAAGTAGATTTATCAACATATTATACAAAGATTTTATCATTTGACCTAGTTCTACCCATATGTATCAAAGTCAAAAGGTTACCACTCAGAAAGATATCTCAGCAGTGCTTGAATGTTGGACCATATTACAAATATGGTGGCTACTATACATATTGCATACACACACACACACACACACACACGGACAATCAAGCCACCCAATGGACTGCTTGCATTTGGAATAGACTAGTGTAGAGCAAATTGCTTATGTTAGCGAGGACTTATTAAACCATTGCTTCAACTATGTTATCTGTATAGTCAAAGAGCATTGAAGAATGGAAAACATTACATTTGTTTACTACAATGTTTTACTGGTACCCTAAATATTTTATAAGATTTTGTATTAAAATAGTTGCTATAAAAAGTATAAATTCAACTATGAGCTGATGAATGATCATAGTTGAATTATGAGGTCATATCACTTATTATAGCACAATTGTGATCAATTCATAAGGTCGTATCACTGCTTTTGTAACACAGCATCCTACACAAAGTTTAGAGTAATATACTATATCCCAGTTCAGTTTGGGACGGAAGTGGAAGCAGCTGCGTGGAATTTGAAAAAAATGTAGTCAACTAGTCTTCATAAAGGCCATCATTATCAGAAGATCTGGCTCTGTTAGCTTTTTAAAAGAAGAATTATCAGTTTGCGTGCTCAACCACATGTTCTTATGTAAACTATGACGTAGATAAATTGTCATAAAACGTCATTTTGGTATGCCATTGGGTTTTTAGGGAGAACCCAGTTCTCAGGGTTCCCAAGGGCTGAGAAACCCAAAATTTCACAGATTTTGATGGACTTTGGCGACTAAGAACCTGTGAAAGTTTCATCCTTATCCCACATTCCTATAGAAAGTTACTCCAGTTTTTCTTATCCCAAACTCAAATGGGATATAGTATAGCTATTACTACATACAATAGTTAAAGAAAATTAAATAAACTACTCACATGATCACACAAATGACAAACAAGCCACAAATGGTATTATGCCAGGAAACTAAATTTAGAATGATGATATATTAACTCAGTTACCAACACTAGCTTTAAGCTCATATTTTTTGAAATAGTCTTAGAACATTCAGCCACAAAATTCTATCTCAATCATACCAAGCTGCCAATCAAATTGGTTCATAATTTTTTTCAGACAACCTCCTCAAATATTCGTATGCATAATGAAAATTTTGAATGCATCAAATTAATATTATATACAATAGCATACAAAAAGTAATGGTTTGGTATAAAGACAATATGACTTATGAATGCAACAGCTGAGGA